GGGGGGGGGGGGGGATATATAGTAGTGAAATGACATATGAACTGAATAAAATAACTGTAGTGTAGTATGACCTTAGATATAGCTGACCTTAACGCCCATTCCAATAGTACCCCTGACCTTCTGCCAGCCAGCTCCGGTGACTTGACGAATGCGGTTTCGAACATCCGTTCTTCCCAACGCCATGAGAACGCCCAAAACGACAAGAAGGGATTTCAAGTATGATAGTGGGTTCGAGATGAGTGACCGAGATAGGTTCTTCATAAAGGTGATAAGTAGCTTCGCTAGTACTTGCATACGTGCAAGTACAAGGGGTTGCGGTTTCCCCGTAGTGCTCTTCTTTATTTCTTTGGCCGAAGATGGTTCTGATGGCTGGGTTTTCTTCAATGCTGGTTTAACAACGCGAGATTTCATAGGCGAATTTGGATTCGATTTTTCAATCCCATAGTCCACTTCACTGCTTGATCTTTTGTGGTTGCCCGTCGACTTCCCACCCGATGTTTCTTGTTGTTGTTTCTGCTTGTGTTCCCGCTCCTGTTTCTTCTCCTCTTCTTCAGCTCGTTGCCTTTCTTCGTCCTCTCGCTGTTTCCGCTGCCGCTCAAGCTCTTCTTCTTTCTCTTGTTGTATCTCAGCGGCGCGCTGTGCTCCCTTCTCCTTTTCTTCCAGTAGGTTATCCAAGGTCTGAATAAACGCCTCCTTTCTATCCTCATCTAAGGCTTCGCTGAGATTGATAAACTCCCGGGCGTATTCCCATTCCTCGTTTCGAGGAAGAACATGTAATGTAAACATCTCTAGCAGCTTGACTCGCACCGCCAGGTCCTTTGGAGTATCTGTTCCTGCAGCAGAGGCCATCCGCTGTTTCCTTTTACCAGAGGACATGTGCTGCATGTGCGCGGAGACATCTAAATCCGGCTGGCCATAAGAGGATAGGTACGTCTCAAGTCGTTCTTGATTTAATTTCTGGGACGCCGAATGGTTCAAGAGAAGAGTAGCCCTGGAGATAACTAGTTAGAAGCAATTGGATGAAGTAGGACTAGTAGAGAACAGTTGCCTTACAGGTTGTAGACAATGTCGGCGTCCACAGATCCTTCTCTTCCTTGGTACCCTAGGCTCACCACCGTCTCCCAAACCTCGCCTTCTCTGACCTTGGTTGCAATAGCTTTCCATTCCTTTTGGCCAAACTGCTCTCTCCCTTCCTCGGGCCCAAGGTCAACAATGGCACTTAGTATTGTGATGTATAGGTTCCATATTTTTATCTTCAGGTTTGCGGATGCTGTTGCAACTGGTGCGAGCGGTGTTGAAGGACCGTCGCCCTCTGTGTTCTGCTGCCCATTTTCCTGGCTTCTCGGCGGCGTAATGATCGGTGTAAGTAGCGAGAGAGACTCTTGGAGCCTGCGAGTGAGGAAGAGCTGCGAAGCCTGCTTGTATACTTGTGATATTTGCTTGCTAGACATGGGGGAGGAGGTCGAGGAAGAAAGGTATGATTGAGCTTCTTCGGCCATGATGAAGCTTTCCCGCGATCAAGCGCAAAACAAACAAATCCTGTATATCAACTGCAAACGCTGTCAAGATGTGATGGAGCTGGAGAAGTCGGCCTGTTGCTGGTCGCTTTCTCGAGTCCTTTCGTTGCAGGTAAAAAACGTAAAGCTTGCGATCGCCGAAAAGGGAAACATCCTCGGCTCGCTGCTGCGATCACGAGACCCCAATCTTTCTCCAGC